ATCACCTTGCTGCTGCTGGTACCAGAGCAGTGTTGGAGTCAGAGTGAGTTGTGTGTGCACTCACTCCTCTCGCCCACTCTTCATCTTGGTGTTGTGATTGATGTACTCGCCTCAAACTTCGTGTTCGGTCATAACGAGGATCACAACATACCAATCACCTTGCTGCTGCTGGTACCAGAGCCGTGTTGGAGTCGGAGTGAGTTGTGCGTGCACTCACTCCCTATCCCCTCCTCCTCCACCACCACTATACCTTCAGTACAACATCCCCCCACTTCACTTCTGGAAAGACCGCATTTCGCGTTCGGTCATAACGAGGATCACAACATATGGATCACCTTGCTGCTGCTGGTACCAGAGCCGTGTTGGAGTCGGAGTGAGTTGTGTGTGCACTCACTCCCTATCCCCTCCTCCTCCACCACCACTATACCTTCAGTACAACATCCCCCCACTTCACTTCTGGAAAGACCGCATTTCCGCCCAAGCTTGGCGACGAGTGATCAGCTCATCACCGATGCCTGCGAGGGAACCACCCAGAGAGACCCTAGCACAAGCGGTCTCTGAACAGGTAACAGGGTGGGGCCTACGTCAGTCTCTGCCATAGGGGCCTTCAGACAGGATGGTGTATGTTTGGTTCGCGCTTCTGTCTGTCTGTGTGTGTCTGAAGGCCCAGCAGGATCGACTGCGACTCCTACTGGCTGCTCCCTTTTGAGTAGCGGTAGCCATGGCAAAAGCAGACAATGTGGTTGGGATCACCACATTTCAGGCACTGCGGTATTGATAAGAAAGCACTAGCGTCTTCCCCCAAATAGAACGCACAGTCATTATAGCTCTATTAGGGGCAGCTTCTAGTCTAGACTATAGATACAAGCATAAAGACTCTGCGTTCTATTTAACAGGAAGAAGGTGGGGCTGTCAAAACAGGACGGTTTATATCTGCTGATAGCTTAAGCATCTGATACATGTGTACCAATAACCATACACCTGGTGTCCATCTTGCCATGCAGCACTTCTACGGGCAACCAAGTTGGCAAGGCCTCTATCCCACAGTCCTTCCTCTATTTGTTCGTTCCCTTAACGAATCTGACAGTCCTCTTTAGCCATGGCAGCAGAGAGGATGCAAAAGTCTATTCTCTGTGATCCACAATCTCTTCAGTTAGGAGGGATAGCAAAAGCCATTGTAGACAGCAGCCTGTGGAATCCTGCCACGTGTGCAATTGAAGACTTGGTGCAGCGAAGGCTTTGTCACCGACTCAAAATCAAGGAAAGACCCAGGACCTTGCGACGTGAAACTAGAAACTAGTCTGACTGGTTTACACTGGGTTGCCCACAGAAAGCACGATTGCTGAGAAGTGTCAAGGGCGGATATAATGTTGAGCGTATGTTCTTGAAAACTGAAACTGCCAGCTGCAGTCAAACAAGTGTTCACTTCACCTGGATGCTTGCCTGATCCGCAATAGAAATATTATAAAGTATCGCACAATCAAGGTTGTGCCTTACCTGCCGAAGAAGCGTAAGGAGATCGCCACCAACGCAGTATTCAAGAATCAGCCAAAGGTGGTTTGAGGTCTCATACCTGCCCATCACACACATCCACAACATGGTTGTTGTACCACCATGAACTTCCAAGACAAGGACAACCTCCCAAAATGGAAAAATATCATTCATCAGTGGGACCACACTCTCACTCAAAGAATCGGTTGACTTAGCAATCGGCACTCAGTAAGCTGATGGGATCCCAAGACGACAGGAGACAAAAGAAACGCCATCCTTATTGCTGATACAACCTTCAAGGCAATCTCTCGGCAGCAAACAAAAGCACACAAACCCAGAGTTGAAACAAAAAAAGAGTACATCAGGCTCAAGGTGCAAAACCAACAACAATCCATCTATGACAATACAACAGAACACCCAGGTCCCGTAGATGATGACATAGCGGACGGTATCCCAGTCAGCCACGTGGCCACCATCAATGAGTAGAGAGAGAGAGAGAGAAGAGAGAGGGGAGAGAGACAAAAAGAGACGGAGAGAGATGCAAATAGAGAGCGAAAATGAAAGAGAAAGGGAACAGAGAAAGACACAGACAGTCAGATCAAAACTTGGTCCACCTGTATCTGTATATGTAGAGAAAAAGAGACAAAATCTTAGCTGCACTGCATTCTACTTTCATGTCTCTCCCTCGAAATTCCATTTCCAACCCCCCCCCCCGCCTTTTCCCCGGACACAAAGAGACAAAATTGAGTCCATCTGTGTATATGCATATGTAAAGACAAAAAGACACCTCTCAATTCTGACTCAATGTACTGTATGTTGATATCCGTTCTGTTTTCTACACATCTCATCTTCATCGTCTTATCTCTTTCTCATCGTCATCATTAATCTTGCAAAATACCACCTCCCTTCAAAAATATGCTCACCCATTCGTCCTTTTCCCCTTTCCCAAATTTCCCTCTTCCTTTTCTTTTTTCTTAAACATTTTTTTATGTATTTCGTATCTGTGTGCAAGTGTGTGTGTGTGTGGGTGTGTATGTAGTGAGTGAGTGAAAGAGACAGAGAGACCGACAGACAGACAGAGACACAGAGAGAGAAGGGGGCGACAGGAAGCGAGATACCGGAGGAGCCTGTGAGAGAGAGATCGGGGAAGAAAGAGAGAGGGGGAGTGTTTGAGAGAGAGAGAGAGAGAGATTCTTCAAAATCTTTTATTCATTTTTGGCATGGCCAGGCAAGTGGTCCCAGACCACTTTGGTAACATAGACCACAATTGAAAGAGATAAAAGGGCACATTCCAGCGCTCTTTCAGCAATTCGTCCAATATCATTTTATCTTTTATCTTTACCACCTGTGGGAGCACACATAATCACACTCACTGACCCCAATGAAACGTACAGTTGTGCACACTCGCTGGTCTAGGAGGCCCTGATACGCATCAATCGAAATCTCCCAGAATTGCAGTCAACCGTAATTACTCGCTCACTCACTCACCCCACGCAAGATAAATCGGACATTGCAGTCCGGATTCTTCGACCATAAAGTTGAACGGTTTATCTGCACCTACAAGCATTCCCTTTAACGACTTTGGCATTGCAAACTGCTGACATTGAGGAAGGCATGAAAATCCAAGAGGACCAGATACCCTTCTGTAATGTTGACCAGTAAAAGGGTTAGTAAACAGGGTGGGTTAGATAATTACCATGCATGGAACTTGAGCACATTCTCATGATCAAGAGAATGGAGAGTCCGCACCTGCAATCAGTGAAAATGGCACACAAAAGGGTTAATAAACAGGGTGGGATGTTTGGGGGGGGTTGGTGGGAAGAGCAAGGGAGGGCGGAGCAGCAATGTAAACAGAGTTCAACTCGAAAACCCAAAACCCTCTATGGCAGTTCCCATGTCTCTATCGACGACCCTCCATCAGCAAATGACTTCCACTACCCTCTATCAGCAAATTACTTCCACCATATTTTGGAAAGGGTTATCAAAAGGTGTCAAACTGAATGGTCCATTTCCACTCGTGGAAGGTGAACCAGGAAGATGCTCCTTCATGCACGGGGAGAGGTGCCGCAGTCACAAGACTGTGTTTTCCTTGTTTAGGTGAAACAAATGGCCACATGCAGAGCTGTAGCCAACCATAAGGCTGCCGTAGGTCCTTTCCTCATTTCATGACCAAAGAACCCGATACAATGAACGAGCTCGCTTCAGAGCGTAGCACAGAGGAGACACAACTCCCAATAATTCTGAACAATCAACAAATGGCCACATGAATGCAGGGAACCAATTCGTTTATAACCAACCAGCGTACACACACACACACACACACACACACACACACACACACACACACACACACACACACTCTTTAAGTATGCAGATGAGTGGGACCTCACCCTGGAAGAGGTTTTATAGTATGCAGCTCTTTTGGCTTACAGCTGGAATTCAGACATAGACTCCGACTTTCTTCGCTGTGTCTGACCTGAAATGCGGCCATATCCAATCGATAAAGTCCTGGAGTGAGGATACCCTCCAAAGAAATGAGAACTACCACGCCAATCATCGAAGAATAGTCCGAGTACCAACACGAACCTGGAGTCCAAAATATAGAATCTGGAGTAAGCCACCTGCTTGGAAGAGAGACAACCCGCAGTTAGCATTCCCCCGCCAGTCCTTCCCGTACACGGTTCCCATCCCCCCTCTTATCCTCCACTCCCACGTCACCTCCACCTCCTCCACCTCCTCCTCCTCCTCCTCCTCCTCCTCCTCCTCCTACCCCCAACTGGAGAGGCAGAGTGCAGAGCATAGCACAGCAGCATCGATTACCACGAGTAGAATCTTCAGTGGAAAATATGTATCCCAACTACCACCAGCTTCCAAGCCTCGTAGAACTTGCAGTCACTGTCAGTCATTCTACAATGGTAAAGCTCGCCGGTCACTTGTCATGTGCAGCTCAGTGTCAATTCAAATTCCAGAATCATTCTGGAACCACACAGATCGAAAGCCCTCAAGGTCCCAACAAGGGTAAGGTCAAACCCAAAATCTTACCTCTGAAGGTTGAGCAAACGAAAATGCTCAAGACACAAAAGACCAAGTTTTATAACACCCAGCCCCAAAATCTTACCTCCTGCAGCACCTTGCTCTTCTGACTCTTGTCAACGCTTTTGATCGCATAGTATTGTATCGTCTTCTTCTTCCGCCCTTTGTACACAACCTGCACAGTCATGAGGAGGACGGTGACAGGAGGAGCCAATGAGGAGGACAGTGATAACGATAGTCGCAGCACCGGTGAGGAGCAGGATGAGGTAAAGAACAGGATAAGGAAGAGAAGCACAGCTAGTCCAGCTCTTCTACCGCACGTGCCTGAGCAATTGCAAGGGCACTTCTTTAAGAAAAAGCCGCAGCCTGGGATGGCTTACTATACACTCAATAGAGAAGTTGTTGCTTTTGCCGCTCAGTCCATGCCAATTACCACTTTCTCGATAAGGAAGAGGATAAGGAGAAAATAAAGAAGAGGATAAGGAGAGGACAATGAAGAGGATAAGGAAGAGGATAATCAAGAGGATAAGGAAGGCGATAAGGAGAGGATAAGAAGGATACAGAAGAGAGATAAGGAAGAAATACGGGGCTAGCACGTTCAACAGACGAATCCTGAGGTAAAGAGAGGGAAAGATTTCAGAGTTCGCCAAATTGATGTAGCAACGCTTTATTTTTTTCCCCCGTCATGAAGGATACGCAGAGAACCGATCAATCTCACCCGCCCTTCTTCTTCTCGCCCGCTGACTCTTGGATTGAGATCTACAGACTCTCGAAAAACTAGTTTCTTCTTTTTTACCATATTGCCTACTTTATTACCTTTTCCTTCTCTGAACTCGGCTGAGCTTCCATTGGCCCCGCAACGAGACACTGAGAAGACGCACTCACATCACTATCACCCAAACCGATCCTCTCTATTCCCACATACATCTTGATTTAATAATATGTCCAACGTTTATCTCGTCAAGCAGCAGTCATTCAGCTTCTGTTCTTCGCCTTTTCCTTTCGTTTCTGCTTTTTTCAATTACTTCCTCTTCGTGCTGCCATTTCTTTTTTTTTCTTTGTTTTTCTTTTTTTTTTTTTTTTTTACTTCCTCTTCGTGCTGCCATTTCGTTTCTGCAAATCCACTAGCGTTGATTGTCCACCCAGGAAGGAAAACAGTCAGCGCCAAAGATGGACGAAGACAGCAACGGAAACCAAACCGATCGTCATGCAAAATGTCATGCAAAACCAGCAGCTTCAGTCAGAGGCCAGAAGCCAGAATCCAGAATCAACTGCGTGCAGGTACCTAACCACTCTTGTGCACGGAAACCAAACCGATCGTCGCACCGTGGAGGCCTTCCTGCACTGAAAATATTGTGAATCTCTCTCTCTCTCTCTCTCTCTCTCTCTCTCTCTCTCTCTCTCTCTCTCTCTCTCTCTCTCTCTCTCTCTCTCTCTCTCTCGCTCGCTCGCTCGCTGGCTGTACGTGCGCCCCTATCTCCTCCTTTTCGCGCACATCAGTTCCCTTCCTCCCTCTCTCTCCCTCTTATATACGCCATTTTGTAGCAAATCGCAGCTGTGGGTGAGCTTGGGCTGAACGACTTTGCTAAGAGGATCCGAATTTCTTTGGTAGAGAACTTCGCTGCACTTCTTTAAGCGGATGCAATTTCTTCTCTGAGTACTATTCTCCTGTTGCTCCAGCTTGCCAATGAATAGGTTTCCTTGCCATTCATCTCTCTTCTGACAGATGATATTTGCTTGTACAATATTGCGCCTATACGTCTGGCTGCAATCAATGCTGGCATGTGAACTTTTCTTTTCGCATGTCGGCTTCCCTTCTCGTTTGCTGACGTCTTGTTTAATCTTTCCTTCGTTTCTCTCTTCTTTTTCCGTTTGTTGCTCTCGTTTGTCTGTTGCTTTCGTTTGTTTGTTGCTTTCGTTTGTTTGTCGCTTTTGTTTGTTTGTTGCTTTTGTTTGTTTGTTGCTTTTGATTGTTTGTTGCCCTTTCTCCTTCAACAGATTGATATCTAGAGTTCCAAACTGGAAACCGCGCGCGGTTCACGTTTTCAGCCAGTCATACTCACAAGCATAATAATCGCTTTTGTTTGTTTGTTGCTTATTATGGAACTCAACTAACGTGCTGATTGATCGCCATGTAAGGTAACACTTCGGCTGGTTAACGTGTTGGACTGATTGACATCCTGTGTCGAGGGGTGATTGCCAATTAGGGGTGATTGCCAATTTGGGATGATTGCCAATTTGGGGTGATTGCCGTTCAATCTAAGGAGATCGCGAGATTCTCAGGTGAGTCCCATTTTTGGCCGATCACCAATAACGAGATGAGATCCGTTTCTGTTTCCTTTTCTTAATCCATGTGTCCATTCTCCCTCTTCAGATTACTATTTCGCTCCCCCCTTCACTGAGTACCCCACCAGACAAGATGCGAGAGCAAATCAGAAAGAGAGATAGCGAAAGAGAGGGAGAGGGAGAGGGAGAGGGAGAGAGAGTCCAGAAATAGAGGGGTTGGAGGAAGCAGGCAACGTGACCAGAGGGCGGATTAGCAATAGGGAACCATGCACACCTTATGCGCCTACTAACACCCTCTCTGCCCCGTTGCTTACTCAAGTTGGTGACTTGATCATTGCAGCCAGCCTGCAGGAGGAGCTCAACAAGCAAATCCTCCTGTCTTCGTGTAGCTACGACCACCTTCCGGCCGTTGGATTATTCTCTCAGTTCAGTAGTGACCCAGGTTTGACAGCATTGCAGTAAGTTTTCCCAATACAGATGAAAATCAGCCACAGTATGTGTATATACGGGTGGTCACGATTGCAAGTCTGCAAGTCTGCATCAGCACCACAGAATGGACAGAGAACTTTGGGAGGATCGCTTCAGCGAAATTGCCGACAGGCATATCACTGAAATACCCTTCTTTGCCACAATCACGCTCTAGTAATTGATTGGGGATCACCTGCTTTATTGCACAACCCAATCGGGGGGCGACGCTCCAGACCATCAAGCTCCTATGTAATCACGCCATTACTTTGTAATCCAGTTATTCTTCATAATCACGGTCCAGAACATCAAGCTACTGCGTAATCCCGTAACTAGTTCATAATTGCATCATCCACCTGGGGAGCAGGGCAGGCGGGGGGGAACGTAGCGAGCCAGGGGGATGCAGCAAGCAGCATATGGCTGCAGCGGACAGGGAATGGGAGAACAAGAGAAGACAGGTGAAAGAGCGCCGCTGCCAAAGAAGCAGCGCCCGCTGCTCCCCGGAGGAGGAAGCCCGTACAGTCGAAGGAAAGCCGTACTGTCACAAAACAACAACTATGGACGTGACGACGCAATCGGCCAACGATCAAATAGCGAATTGGCGTCTTCGCGCCACGGGGTCTGCCCTGTATTTCGTATGGAGGAAGCCCTTTGGGCATGTTACTTTGACGTTCCTGGTCGCAATTTCGGCGTTTTTTGAACCGATATCGTCAGGGCTTACAGGGTTCCCGCCAGTAGAAGCCGACGATTTCGTTTAGAAACGCGGAAATCGTCAAATAGAACTGCCCGGTAAGCCGTCTGCAGAGAGGCTAACGTGCAAGGCCGCCCGCGTGGATGTATATACCGTCAAACTTGATGAGTCGGTGAAAATCCAATGAAACAGTCCTCGTTTGTTGTCCCCTTTTCCCTCTCCGTCTGCGGTTCACCCAGCAGTTCCTTACGACGATATTTACTGACTAATTGACATCAACGGATCAACCGCTGCAGAACAGAGAATGCGTTATTTTACAAATACAACAAGAACACCCTCCCCCACCCCACCCCACCCCCCCTCCATCAGCAGTCTCGAGGACACCCTCTCCCCCACCACCCCCCTCCACAATGCCTAAGCCCTGTAAAACTGACTCCATATTCTGAAACGATCTGATGGCCAATGGGTCTCGCTCCACCACGCTAAAAATCTGAGAAAGACAAAAAAAAATGGCGGGTGCCGCTTCCACCTTCTAGCCGAAGAGATACACATACGGTGCTAACTACAGTCTTCCCCCGAATACAACGTACGGTCATTATAGCTGAATTTGGGGCATCTTTCCGTCTAAATTCAGATATAATGACCGTACGTTGTATTCGGGGGAAGACTGTAGTGCCGCGAGGCCACTTACCACATTTCTTCTTTATTCGTCAGCACTGGAGCGACGCCCTATACCTCACCACCTGTCCCTTCTTTATTCGTCACAAATTAATTCCTCCCTTCGTCACAAATTCTTCCCTAAACCCTTCCCAAGCTCGAGACTTTTCTCCCTCCTTCGTCACAAAATCCTCCCTTCGTCACAAACTCCTCCCTTCGTCACAAATTCCTCCCAATCACGTTCTAGCCTCAATTTCAACCTCCCTCCTTTCTCTTCCCGATTTTTTGTCCATCCTCACTAACCTCCTCCCCCCCTCCTGTGGCGACCAGTCGATGGCGTAATGCAATCCTGTTCTGTCTCCGACGAAGCACTGCTGCCGGCCCTATGCAACGCGGTTGCTATTCCCTCCCCACGCCCTTCACTCCTCTCCCTCCCACGCAATCTCGTTCCCTTCTCCTTTAAGCTAAATCCGACCTCCTTTCGCCCTGTTCTCAACAGAGATCCAACCCCCTACGTTCGCCAGCCCCCTCCCCATAAACATTCACCCAACGTGACGGAAATAAAGAACCCTCGACCGCCGAAGAGTCAACTAATGGCCACTAGGAGAGAGAGAGAGAGAGAGACCCTATCTGACTAACTCATGTAAACCTTGATCTGTAGGGAAATCGATGACGAAGGCTCCCTTTCGACCTCCTTCCCAAGTGTTCCCCACACAGATCCAACTCCCTGCGTTCGCCAGGCCTTCATCATCGATTTCCCTGCAGATCAAGGTTTGCATGAATTAGCAGATAGGGTCTCTCTCTCTCTCTCTCTCTCTCTCTCTCTCTCTCTCTCTCTCTCTCCCACACACACACACACACACACACCTGTCTCTTATACACATCTAGATGTGTATAAGAGACAGCCAGCACACACACACACGTTCACACAACGTGACGAAATAAAGAACCCTCGAAAACGCCGACGAGTAAACTAATGACCACGAGAAGAGAGAGAGAGAGAGAGAGAGAGAGAGAAAGAGAGAGAGAGAGAAAGAGAGAGAGAGACTATCTGCTGATTCATGTGAACCTTGATCTGCAGGGAAATCGATGACGAAGGCACGCTTCGTTTTTCCTTTGTTTTGGTGCCAATCGACGACGGGTGAAACCTTCCATTTTTGCCTTGATTTGGTCCCAACAATGAGGTGAGGAACACATCTCCGCGTCGCCGATTACCCAACAACATACTGTAATAATGGGAAATTTAAGGTTTGATCCGCCAACGACGTCCCAGCAGCAACGATCCACCTCTCGCTCGACACGAAATAGGTGTGCGAAATCAATCAACGACGCAGGCTAACCTTCTACATTTCCATTGATTTCCTACCATCGACGATGGGGGAGAGGATGGATGAAAGAGAGAAGAGTATTATTACAAACGCGCACACAGACACACACACACACACACACACACACACACACACACACACACACACACGTCCCTGCCGGAAACAGCAGGGACGGCAAATGGACAGGGGGTGTCACGAAGCGGGAAAAATTTTGGGGAGAGAAGATATCTGGAAAGGGAGCGTGATCGACGACAGAGAACAAAAGAAACGAGGGATGAAAGACACCGGAGAGGATCATGATTGGGAGGGAAAGGGAGAGGCGTACGAAAGGAGGAGGGGAGTGACAAAGGACGGACATCAAAAGGAAGGAAGAAGAGGGGGAAGGAGAAAAGGGAACGAAGATGGGAAGAAGAAAGGAGAGAGGGAAGGACGAAGGGGGAGAAGAGAAAGAAAGGAGAGGGACAAATAGAGAGGAAGGAGCAGGTGGAAGAGAAAGATTTTGCGCGCGCAGAGGTCCCAAACTTCATTGCTGTTCTGCCAAGACCATGACCAAGTGCAAGAGAACAGAGGGGTCCCCAAATTCGTCCATCTATCCACATGAAGGCCGTTCCCCCCTTTTTCTACGATTCGCCAAATCCGAACGTTCCTTGCGTAGTCTGGCCTGTTACGACATCCTTTCTACATCCCGCCCCTTTTTCTATTTGCCCCTCCTTCTTCCACCCCTACCCCCAATACCCTCCCTCTATTCTCCCAGTTCAACGAACCCACCACCAGTTCACTCCCTCTCTCCCACGTCACCCCAGCACGCTGCAAATCGCCCGCCTTCAGAACGTTTTTCCCCTCACAACGAACGGCTGCTTTGCGCTCTCCCCCTTTCATCTTTCTTCTTCTGCATTCCACCTCCCTTTCTCCATCGCCCCTTTTCCACACTTTCCGCCAAGCAGCACTACAGGAAAGCATGCTCTATCCATCTCCTCTCTCCACTTTAGTCAGATTAGATTAGGAGGGAGGCATTCGACCGGTGCAGGCAGGCAAGGTGCGGACGAGCCTTGTTGCCGCTACGCACACCTCAGCAAGCACCTGAGCAAGAGTGAAAGCCCACCACCGCAAACAAGTGCACGTGGCCGCACAACTTGCTCGATCGAGATCGGGTTGATCGGGGGCCAATCAAAGCATGCACCCATTCCAATGGTCGTCGGATTGCTTTGGCCAGCTTGATTCACCCACATCGGTCGGACACGTGCACCTGATACCAACCCTCGATAAGTAAAAAACAGACATGATGACGGCTGCGTGCGGACCTGAAGAACGGATCGGAAGCATCTGATACCAACCCATTCCACGAGAGTATTGGCATAGATAGACGCGGAGGAGGACGGGAGTTCGGGGATTCCAGCAGTAAATTGGAGAAGGCGATTAGGATATATAAAGAGGAGAGAGAGAGAGAGAGAGAGAGAGAGAGAGAGAGAAGGAGGAGAGAGACAGAGAGAGACAAGGAGGAGAGAGACAGAGAGACAAGGAGGAGAGAGACAGAGAGACAAGGAGGAGGAGACGACGAAGAGGAGAGAGATGGAATGAGCGTCTGCGGACAAGGCAATCAGGATACGACGATGGCGAATTTTTTTTCCTGACGATGGCGAATTTTTTTTCCTGAGGAGAGAGCAGCAGGCAAAAGAGTCGGCAGATATCTGGACAGCGGAAAGAATAGACGGGCAGAGGGGGCAGATCAGGGAGCGCTCTCATTCTCGATGGCCTTGTGAAGAATGTCCCGAACTTGGGGGATGGCACGTTACTCGGACGTTCAAGGAGGAAGTGAGCACCAGGTGGGGAGGAAGGAGAAAGGGCGATCGTTGAGGAAGGAGGGGTTCGGATGGAAGCATATGTATGAGTCGAAGAGCAGGGGGTGAGGGAGGTGGGTAGGTGGGCCTTGCGTACGGACCGAGTGCTTTCCCCGGCCGATAGCTTCGTAGATATGATACTGATTCATGTCTTCCTGCCGTGAGCTCCTGAAACGCACTGAACTTGACCGTAGATAGCGGCGGGATTCGAGGCCAATGGCTGCAGCGAAGCATGGCTATGGTGGTCTCTTCCACTCAGTGGTCCATGCGAACATGCAACGGTGACGATAGAAGAGATGGCGAACGGCAATCCCTGTGCTGACGTGACAGCGACTCGACACGCGCGGCTTACTCCCGCGGATTGGCAACGCTACGAAAAGAACCAGGGGGAGAGAATTCCTCCCGCTCCCGCGGAGCCTCGGGTTCGGTGAGACACGACGAGGACGGCGGCACAATTGGCGCGGATTACCGCCGACGGTCTGTTCAATTTTCAATTTTGAAAGAACAAAATAGCGCATGGCCCACACTACCAGAGTCCACGTCTTGTTCCCTCCAAGGAGGGCCCGGGCCCGCCGGTGGTCTTATATGGGAATAGGCAACGGGAGGATTTCAGGCTGGTACATAGGTTAGGGAAGTACTGAGCTGGCCCGCCGGGGTACTTTCCGAATCCCTGCAGTAGCCCGCAGAGGTAGTCCATACCAGCCCCCTCTTTGGGCCTCGCTCCATTACTCTCGACATGCACAGAAGCACCACAGCTGTGGTGCCAAACCACCCCGTGGGCTGGGGAGAGATCCGGGTTGGTTGGTGTTCCCCCGTACTATACATAGACTAGTGAGAGGATAAGATAGATGCGTACTACAAAGAAGACTAGCTAAGCGCCCGCGGTGCGGGCCATGCCCGCAGAAATAAGAGTAACTGGCTAGGAAGTCCAACTTTAATTCACGAATTAAAAAAATAACAAATAGAAAGAAAAAAAATGTCAGAGAAAGGGCGAGGAGAGACAAAGATAGACAAAGAAAAAAAAAGAAAAAAAGAAAAAAAAAATAGATAGATTAATAGATAGACAGAGAGAGAGAGAAAGAGAGAGAGAGAGAGAGGAGCAACGAAAGAGCAAAGAACAAAAAAAAACGAACACGAGTAAAAACAGAAAAAAAAAATTGATATGAAGATTTTTCGTTTCATTTAAGTAATCAAGTGGCTGCAGTATGATCAAGGCACAATTATGGCGTAGTGGAATCAATATTGACTTAAAAAAGCGGAATAATATTACGTCAAAATTTTTTTTTTTTCTCTCTCTCTCTCTCTCTCTCTCTCTCTCTCTCTCTCTCTCTCTTATTTATTTGTCTTTCCCTTCCCATCTCTCTTGTAGGGACAATTACGTAACTGAAATCGAAGACGACCATCTAAAAATTTGTCATTAAGGCAACGCTTGGACAATCGCCCAATCAACATCTTTGTCTTCCTATCTCTCTTATAAGACCAATCAACTTCATTCACTGGAACGATAGTCTTGCAATACCTCACGAACAGAAACTCGTTGCAACACTTTGCGATGATACTCCTTGATGTTTCGAATCGAGTCTGTCTTTGTCGATTGTGATCGAGATGAATTGCAGCATCCACACATCTCCAAGTGTTCATACTCGTATTCAATTATGCTGCTGCTTCCACAATATCTTGCACCCTGTGAGAACTGTCAAGGTAGGACAGGTGCGCCAGTGTCTTTTTCAGACCAATAGATTCAACAGAGAACTTAGTTGTTCCAATGGTCTTGTATGGACATGCAGATGGTCTCTTGACGGCGTATGAGTGGGCACAACACAACTGACAGGAGACGGAGTAGTCGTAGCGGCCGACAAAGCAGGAAAAAACAACAGAAGTAGTGACAATCGGCGTTGACATATTGGAGGGTGAAGCATAATCCGCAAGACGTTGAAAATTTGAAGGAGATGTTGCTTGAAGGGGGAGTCTACAGACCGGAGCGGAATGAGGAGTGGAAGAAGCAACCACGGGAGGAATCTTTTTGAGAAGTTGTTGTATCCGTGCATATTTGTGAAAGGTTTGGGGAATGGTCCCTTTTGTCGGACACAATGCTGCAAATCAAATGTCATCCTAGTAATCTCCTCATTAGACAGAGCGTTGAACTCATTGTTCAAAAGTGATTGCAACATGGAAGAAGCCTCCAAATCTGAAACATTCAACGGGTTTGAAGAAAGAGGGAATCGTCGTTCCAACCGCATATTAGTGAGTTTGTTTTTTTTCCACTCCACGAAGTTTTTTCATATTCGTCCATCTTTTACGACTGTGACACTTTTGACAAACATTTCAAAAAATACCTCAGTAAAAACATTTTGGATGTCAACCTTCTTCGCATCACCAAATCATCGAGCAAGGTAAACGCGCGAATTCGGAGTGCGAATTGTGGCTGCATCGTTATCATCGAGCACCACAATAACCCCCAGAGGATTTTGTGGTTGCGATGTGGCGCAAACATGTTTTTCGCGTCCACTGCGTTGAAATTGCGAAGACGAATCATGAACACGTGCACGTCCAGTGAGCGGTGCACTAAACGGAAGAGATGAAAGTGCATCATCAAGGAGCGCATTCAACGCTCTTACAATCTGAGTTCCCGTTTTATCAACAGCATGTTGCCGTCCCACCTGATTATCAACCAAGGTAGACTCCGACACTTCGGGGGAATCCAAAAGATTAGTTTTCTCACCACGTTTTTTTTTCCTCTTGAAAGTAGATTTAACATAGTCTGCTTTCGAATCGTTTGTAACGTTATCATCCTCATCATGGTTAAATGTAAGGTTAATAGACCTACCCGACTGACCTCTGCGCAAATCATCCCATCGACACGACAATCGTCACCACTCCCCTCCACAACCATGTTCTCAGCATCATCAATGATATTCCCTTGCGAACATCGACGTTCAACCTCACCAAGAACATGATGATCGTCCCGAGGATGTTCACTTCAAGATTCACCGACCTCTCATCGTTTCCACTTTTCTTTGACCTCTTCGAATGTTCGGCTTCAACTTTTGATGTAGCATTCGTATCATATTGAGTGGTATTGTTGTTTCTCATGGCTTTCCTCTTAGCACGAGTGACGTACTTATCGCCTGCAAAGAAAGAATATGACAGAATTATTTGTAATGCCAAGGCTCGATGAAAAAAAAAAAGAAGGACTCATCAAAAAAGTTCATGATATACAATATTCTTCGTTTAAAAAAAAATATCAGACAATGCAACACGGATGTTGTTGGGATGGTCAACAGGCGACAAAGCAATGTACAGTTGGTTATGCGTAAAAACCGGTTTGCGTAGCCAAACCCCGACACGAGATACGGTTTGTCCTTGCGACTTGTTAATCGTTACAGCAAATGCAAGGTGGACTGGAAATTACCTCCTAAACCATTTGAACCAGTTGTTTCACCATCGCTTGTCAGATAAATCTTAGGGATCAGTGTTGTTTTACCCGTGTGCATTATTGTCACTTCCAACAAATCATCATTAACGATCTTCTTCAGAATCAGCCTTGTACCGTTGCAAAATCATTGGTTCGGTGACAAATTTTGCAAAAACATCACATGCGCACTAATTTTTAAGCGCAACTTGTGAGGTGGAAAGACATATTAAGAACTTTCGCTCAATACCAAGTCCGGTATCATCTGAATCAGGATAATCAACGCTGAAAAGGTTATGCACCTCCCCAAGGAAGTCGTCAAGAACACGGTTGTTAACAGAACCGACATCGTCATTAGTAGGGCATAGAATTAATCGAGGCAAGAAATACTCGACATCCCCCACATAGTTCGACACATCATCAAACGTTCATAAAATAAACTCATCAATGGGTTTATCTGTACAAATCTCACATGGCCATCTGACCGCAGCAGGTTCGTTAGGAACAACACGAGGATAGTCACCATTCCCAATGCGCATCAAAAAGTGAGCATACATTTGTGTCATTTCATCATTCCATAAGCTTAAGATTCACATATTTTCGGTTAGTTGATGAACCTCAAAAAGGTTCCACAAAGGAGACATTTTCATGGACGCATCAATTTTTTGCGCTCGCGATCCGTGTTTCACAACGTGCAAAACCTGTTTAAAATCCCCAGCTAGAAGTAAAACTTTCTCACCAAACGACTCGTCATTATTACAGAGGTCCCGAAGGGTAATGTCAAAAGCTTCCAAGTGAAACTTGTTACTCATCGGAGCCTCGTCCCAAACAATAAAGTCGGCACGACGAATAAGCTCCGCAATATTACTTTGTTTCGAAATCAAGAAGGGACACGTGTTATCAGGTTTTACAGGTGCGCTAAATCGTGAGTGAAACGTTCGAACCCCCGTCAAAAGAGTCGTTGCTATGCCACTGGACGTGACGGTCAGTGCAATGGCAGAACTCGACATGATGCCCGTCAAAATCGTTTCAATGCAAAAAGTTTTTCTTGTTCCAGTCGGTGCATCGACAAAAGCACGCAACGGTCTTTTATTTTGCACAGCCCGAATGACTTTTTCCACCAACACTCGTTGACGTGGACGAAGACGTCGAAAATTGAAGTCATATTTGCATTGTATTAGAATCGGATCATACGACAACTCGTCGTTTCGAATCGAGGATAAGCAATCGTTTTCCCGTCGGGCGTTGGATAATAAAGGTAGAACTGACGAATGTTTTTTTCAGACTCTTGCAAAATACGATCAAGATGGAACAACACTAAGGATTACAAAATATTCAGTAAAACAATTTCATTGTATGCGCGATACTGAAAATCATTACACATCTTATCCCAATGTTGTTCGAAGAAACGAACCAGATCGTTCACCGGATCAAACGCAAGAACCATAGCAAATATTTTACGAATTTCTTCAGGCATGTAATGCACAGCGGCTATGTCTATGCATTGATCGTATGCATCGTCTGTTTGCAAAAGGCCTAATCGAAGACACACAGATCAAAACAAATCGTATTCGACTTCGTCCACCGTACGAATTTTAACAAAAAAACTCACCCCATGAGAATATTCATGGTTTAGCAACACACGCAGATAGAATCGTTACCCTTCCGTGATCCTCACGTGATGCAACCGAGATATCTTTTCAAAGGGCCCACCATGAAAGTTACGCATTTTTCAGTTCCACTTCTTATGTTTGTTATCCCACACATGAGTATTAACGATTTCTGTGCAAAGAGGAAACTTCTCTTTAGGAACACGTTCGTTCAAAGAGTTGTGTTTCATCAATCCCGTTAATTTCATTTTCGGGGGCTCATTTGAAACAACGTCATGCTCAGTCTCAGATTCAAATTGTACTTGT